AAAAAAGCTCACATAATTTTGGTAAACTATAACATGTCCAAGATTTCTATTACTTGACAGATTTCGAGCCATTACAAGTTCGTACTACCGTGGAGCCCAAGGAGCCCTACTTGTGTACGACATAACAAGGAGGTCGACTTTCGAAAGCCTGAGGAAATGGTTAAAAGAATTGCGACAATTCGGAAGTCCAGAGATGGTGGTGGTGCTTGTCGGGAATAAATCGGATTTAACCAAGTCGAGGGAGGTGGATATGGAAGATGGCAAGTGTTTGGCCCAGCTTGAAAGCCTCTCTTTTATGGAGACTTCAACCAAGGAGAATTTGAACGTGGAGGAGGCTTTTTTCCAGATGATCACAAGGATTTTCGAAATCACTCGTAAAAAAAGCTTATTAGAATCTAACAAGATGAGCGATCATGATCAAGCCACGTCAGCAAGTGCTGATCAGACGGTACTGAAACTGGAGAAGAAGGAAATTATATGTATTGATGAATTATCTGCTACTAAACAAAATAGTCACTGTTGTTCCTATTGATTTTTTTTAAATATTTTTTAGCTTTGTTCTTGATTTTTAGTAGTGGGTTGTGTTTACATTTATGTTTGTTAGCGGATTTTTGATTTAAAGTTGGTCATGAGGATGTGGATTGAATCGAACGTGATTGGTTTGATGATTCGTTGGTTGATCTAATGAGATGTAGATTGTGTATTTATTGATCGCGATGAATGAGAATTAAATGTGTTGAAACTTAAATGAGGCAACAATAGCTTTGAATTGGTCGGTATAGTGGTCTTNGACAAACAAACAAATTTATATCACTCAACGAGTAGTACAAGTACACACAAGTAACCAACTGGTTACAGACCCAAACTGTCCAAACATGGACAACATCAGAGCCACGAGGAAGAGCAATCCTTCCCCTCAAAGACCAACATGGTTGCAAATCTTAAAACAAAACAAAACAGAATTAAAAAGTTAAACACTTTACAATGTGACAAATCTCAAACAACTCTAAGATTTCCTCCACCAATTGCAGACATGAACTGGTAGGTGCTACAGATTTGTTGAACATTTTGATTGCAGCTTCATTGTTCAGATAGCAGGTACTAGCCTTCCATTTGAGATCTTTAAACTTCCTTAGGCACCATCTTGCAGCCAATAATATTGCCTCTGCAGGAGTAGTACACCTGTCAAGTCCAGTAATCTGCTCTTCCCAATGAAGCTTGTTCTCTAATTCATCTGTAGCAATGCACACCACTTCAATTTCTCCATCATCAAATGATTGAGCATTGATGACCAACCAAGTCCATCCTACCCTCTGAGATACATTATCTGATTCTGGCATTCCCCCTATAAGTTGCTGCTTGTTATCCCACTCCTGCCACTCTGAGTGTGTTCTTTTCACTATTTCCAACTCATTGAACCAATCTCCCTTAAAAACCCATTTATTCTTACCCTTCCATAAGTTCCACAGCAGATAGATAGATAAGTTGACCCTATCAGTTAATGTATCAGACATGCCTTGAGTGCAAATATCCCTCCACCAACTTTGAAAATCCACCAAGTTGTGTTGTAAGAGTTCCCATTCCACCCCACACAGTTTCCAACAAATTTAGATTTAGGACAAAGGAATAACAAGTGGTTTAAGTCCTCCACTCCCTCCCCACATCTCTTACAGACTGAATCAACTACCATACCTCTCTTTACCAACTTATCAGCCACCCCTAAATACCCATACCAGCATTTCCAAATGAAGAGTTTAAGTTTGGGTTTAATGTTCAGATGCCAGGTTGCTTTCCACATTTTCTTCAACCATCCTGAATGTCCACTTGTTGAAGCATGAACCCTAGAGTTTTTCTGGGCACTCAAAAAAGCTTGATACACAACCTTTGTAGAGAAGGCCCCTTTTTTTCCCCAATGCCAGATTAGTCTATCATGTTTGCTGTTACTAGACAAGGGAATTTTTAATATTAATTCAGCATCCACAGGGTTGAATGTTTGAAGAATAAGCTCTTGATCCCACTCCCTTTCTCCACTCCTCATCAAATCACTAACTTTGCTAAACCTGCTCTTATCCCCCCAAAAGAAACACTGAGGTGAAAACAAATTTATTAGCGATGCAGGACCACAAGAAATAATCGAACACAGAGAAGAGATCGAAACCAGTCGAACAAATCCTATAGAAGGAACTAAGACTCCACACAGAGAGAAACCCTAGAGAGGGACTTCCAAAATTCAATAATTGGTCTTATTGCTTTCTCTTCTCCCAAATTATTTGTATGTGTTCTTGTGTATTTTTACTTCTTTGTGATTTTTTTCTTTAGCCAAAAGTCTTGACAATATTAATTTTTTGGTTAATTGTGGTAATCTCGTACAAGTCTCTCTCTCTATCTCCCTCTCTCTCCCTCTCTCTCCCTCCCTCTCTCTTTCTCTCTCTCTCTCTCTCTCCCTCCCTCCCTCCCTCCCTCTCTCTCTCTCTCTTTCTCTCTCTCTACCTAACGTGGCCTTAGCAGGCTAAGCTAGGGAAATGACCACGCCGTAATGTTGATGGTAGTAGATGTGTCAAGAAGATAATGATTACTGAAAAAAACTATTTTTCCTTAGAGGAAATAACTAATTTCACCCCATTTTAAGATGGAATAAGTTTTACACATTGTCAAATAATAAATTAACTTTTTCACCCACAAAGTGCGAAACAAATTATGTAACAAACGAAGATAATCAATAAAGTGCGAAAAATTATGTGATACAATATGCGACAGACATGCGAAGATAGTTTATAAAGTGCGGAATATTTATGCAATAAACTATGCTACAGACATGAGAAAATAACTGATAAAGTGTGAGAAAAATTATGCTATAAACAATGCGACAGACATGCGAAGATAACTGATAAAGTGCGAAATAGAATATGCGATAAACTATGCGACAGAAAGGCGAATATAATTGCTAAAGTGCAAAAAATTATGCGACAACTATTAGAAACAGTAGAGAAGATAATTGGTGAAATGCGAAATATTTATGTGACAATAATGTGAAAGAGAGTATAAACTAATTGATAAAATGAGAAATATTATGCAATAAACTACATGACAGACAAGTCAATATAATTGATAAAGTGCAAAATAATTATGTGATATGATATGCGACAGTCAGACGAAGAAAATCGATAAAGTACGAAACAAAATATGTGATAAACAAGGGAAGAAAATTGATAAAATACAAAACAAGCGATAAACTATGCGACAGACAAACGAAGGCAATTGATAAAGTGCGAAGACCATTAGACGATAAACAATGCGACACACAGAAGAAGATAATTGATAAAGTGAGAAAGATATTATGCGATATATTATGCGACAGACTGGCGAAGATAATTGATTAAGTGAGAAAGATATTATACGATAAACTATGCGACATATAGACGAAAATAATTGATAAAGTTCGAAATATTTATGCGACAACTATGCGATAGAGAGGAGGATAAGATAATTGGTAAATGTGAAATATTTATGCGATAAACTACGCGGCGAACAGGACAAGATAATTGGTAAAATGCGAAATAATTATGCAATACGATATGTGACAAACAAGCAAAGAAAATTAATAAAGTGCGAAACATATGTGATAAAAAAATGCGACAGATAGACTAATAATATAGATAAATTGAGAAACAAATTATGCGATAGACTATGCGACGAACAAACGAAGATAATTGATGAAGAGCGAAATAAATTTTGTGACAAATAAGACAAAGCGACAGAAATGTGAAGATAAATGATAAAATGCGAAATATTTATGTGACAGCTATGAGAAAGAGACACTAAGAAAATCAATAAAGTGCAAAACATTTATGCGATAAACTACGCAATAGAAGGGTAAAGATAATCGATAAAGTACGAAATATTTAGGCGATAAACTCACAACATTTAGATCAAGATAATCGATAAAGTGCAAAACAAATTATGTGATAAATAATGCGACAGACATACGAAGAAAATTGATAAAGTGCGAACTAGATTATGCGATAAACTATGCTACGGACAAGTGAAGATAATTAATAAAGTACGAAACAAATTATGCGATAAACAAGACAAGGCGATAGACATGCGAAGATAATTGATAAATTGCAAAATATTTGTACAGCAACTCTGTGAAAGAGAGGCGAAGTAAATTAATAAAGTACGAATCATTTATGAAATAAACTACGCGATAGACAGGTCAAGATAATCTATAAGGTGCAAAATATTTATGCGATAAACTATGCGACAGACATGTCAAGATAATCTGTTAAAGTGCAAAATAAATTATACGATAAACAAGGTGACAGACATGTGGAGATAATTCATCAAGTGCGATCTCATTATACGATAAAATCTGTGACATATAGGCGAAGTTAATTGAAGAAGTGAAGATGCAGGAGAATTGTGTTAACAGTTCAGTCAATCGCGGGTCTTTTGCATTTTATTCGCAGGTCAGCTTTTTGCACCCGTTTTACATTTTTCTAGTTTCTTCTCAATTATTAACTTTTCGTGTAAGCCTTAGAAAGGTTGTCCATCTCGAGAACGTTGTACTAGAAACACTTGAAGGAGGTTTTCAACATTTTGAATCCCCAAAGTTTCTAAGAACAGAAATCCCCAAAGCAATGAGGCGGAGAATCGTGGGGTGGGTCGAGATCAACAACCGGAGGAACTTGATAAAAAAATGATATGGACGACGACTTATATGAACTGATCGAGCATACGCTAATAAAAAACGAGAAATGTATTTTGTATTTTTTATTTTAGCTACCACGTCATGATCCCCTAGTGTGCTCGCAAGCTTAGAAATCTCCATCTCGCCCAGTTTCGACGGTTCTTTCATCGATTGTCTCTGCTAATACCCCTCCGGTGTCCGACTTTGGCTCTCACGATCTTCCTTTGGGATCGCCTCCACTTCATAGTCACTAATATTCGACATGATTAGCAAAAAAATTGGTCAAAAGTCGTCGAGCAAAAGAAATAGTGTCAGCAAGAAAGGACTCGCAGATATCAAAATTCGAAAGATGAAGTACATGCAACTTTATGCGCTGAGTAGCCCTCTATTTATTAACGACACTTTATGCCCCTCTAAACATTGCATCCTTAAAGCACGAAAACAAAGACGTGCCTAAATCTAAAATGGCACACCTCAACCCTGAAGAGATATCCCCCCTCCTCAAATGAAAAGGCATCTTATTTGTCCCGTCACCTACAACGCAACTGAAGTCATCGAAAAAGACCAAAAGTTTTAAAAGGTAGCTTCTCAGGCATCTCGACACCTCTACACCTTGGAACCTGGGGACCTCCATGTTGTATGAATTTTCATACGGAATTCAAACCGGCCCATTAAGATCAAGCCGAATGACTATTTGACCTGTAAACTCGAGAAAAGTGGCCTAGGAAGCAACACCGACAAGCTTTGTCGATCCCTCCGATTGATAAACAGTCCCTTATAAAATGTCGATCTCATCCCGAATCTTCTCCAGGAAGATTGACAATCTCTCTCGTATACACACGGAACCATTAAAGCTGATAAAGCGACCGCCCGAACTGTTCCATCCTCAAAAGTCGAGTCTTAAATACACGCGTGGCCATCCTACGCCCCTAGCTGGCACGGTGCATTTATTTGTGTTCTTACCTTTTTCGTGTATAAATACGACCACATGTTCCCCTTGAAAATTTAAAAAGGGGGGAGGGGGGTACAGACCGACAAAATTTCGACGTCTTATTATTTTTTGTACTTGTCATTTCATTTTCTTTATTTCAGTTTTCCTTATTATACAATAAATTCATCCCAATTCTATTAATTACTTGGCATCCCCCATTTAACCGTTGGCATGGACTGTCAATAAAAAATAATTACAATTTTTTGGCATGAAATTTATATTAATTATATAATAAAAATATAAATATTTATTTCATAATTATTAAAATAATTATGAATGCATTACATTTTGCATAATCCTTGTTTTCATTATAATAGTTGATATATTTTATATCATATATCATATGAATTATGCATAATGACAAATATAAATAAATTTATAATGTTTTCTACTTTTATAACATGTTACTTTTTCCTTTTTTCTCGATGTAGGAATGGAGAAAAAATAGTTATTGTAGGAACTTATATTTGGTTTGGAGCGACTTTTTCATTTTTTATTTTATTTTTTATGTTTTTTACAAGAAAAGATTTTTACCATCATTTTTTCCTGCAACTGACAGTTTAGGCGTGCAACATCTCGTTAGTGATGACCCGACATATCTCCAACCTCATTCAAGACAACCACCGTCTTCTACAGCTTGGGTGAATAGAACCGATCTCTACGCATCGATCGAAGCTCTCGCCTCAGTTAACGTCTATCAATGGCTCATTGGATCTCCTCTAAGCTCAGAGCCGCTGAAACCCTACTCCAACAGGTTCATAAATCCTCATTCTATTTTTTTTTTTTTTAAATCAAAATGTGTGTTTCCGCCTTGTATTACAGAATAGCGAGGTTCGGCTCTCAATAGATTGTACCATCGTTAGAATCGGAACGATTCGTACTCGCTGTACATTGTTTTTTCCTGTTAATTTTTTCGTTTGTCATTTGGATGCTTTGGAATTGAATTATCATCTTTCCATAGGATCATGTAATTTGGGATTGATGTAATCTATTCAGACTGAAACTGGACTTGGTGAAATCTATTGTATGAGAAAATTAGATTTGATAATTCACAATGTGAGTAAGAGTTGATTAAAACAAATCAACTGGTTGGTGGACATATAAATGCACATCTTTCATGAAATGTATAGCATCCTTTAATATACGTTTATTTACTCGGGCATTTCCATCTATTAATTTTAATCCCTAAGAGCTCATAAAATTATTGGAGAACAAAGAGAATTCGAAAAATTAGTTATGGACCTATTTATCTTATGCTACAAAATGCTAGTTTAAGTTCCTTTCATTGTAAACAAGTGTTTCTTATTTTTCTTTTTTTCCTATTTATGTTAAAAAAAAAATGGCCGTTATAGTGCTACATGGTGAAATGCAATAAAGTTCAGAATGTAATATATAGTAGATTGCTGTGTATATAGTAACGGTGTTCAATTTTGAATGTTCTCCATTTGATTGGTGGTTCAGATCGATCAGCAAGCTGCAGAATCACTCAAAAAGAATGATAAGTTGCCAGCAGGTGATCAATTACATGGTGAAAGTTCACCAAGAACACCTAATACTAAGCCATTAATAAAGGACCAGCTGAAGAAAAAACATACCGAAAATGTGGTAAACCAAAGTTCTCTCAACATTGGTAAACCGAGTTCAAATGTTATCAGCAGAAATAACAGTGTTATTTATCGGGATGATGATACACCATTGTCCACGAACCAAAATTTAAAGTCAAATATGAGTGGAGGACCCTCTGATGGTGATTGGACAGAATTGCTCAGTTTACCGGACAAAAAAGGAGTATCTGGTGGAGGAAGTTTGAGCCGGAGTATTAATCGAGTATCGGGAATTCGGACTCTGAAGCAAGATAAGAAGAACTTGGGAAGTTCTAGTCCAGGAAAGAATATCTCTGTGGTTGATGGGAAGGGTAAAAAATTATGGACTAATGGGGTCTCCAAGAATTCTAAAAAAACAAATGTTGAGTTGGAGAATAGCACCAGTTCAGATTTTGATGAGAAGGCAAGTAATGTTGGGGATGTAACACCAAGAACATCAAGTTCCCAGTCGCCAAGTAGTAGTGGTGAATCGGGTTACATGAACAGTGGCTCGACACTTGCTGTTGGTAACCCCAAAATTGAGAACATGGGGCAAGTTGAAGTCTTGAATGATTCTGTGGATGGAGACAAGGTACAGAATAATTCGGACAATTCCTGGAAAATTATGCCAATTTCTCGTGAAAATGAGTTGGATACAAAGGTGGGACTAGATAATGGTGAGAGGTTTAAGAGGGATTCTAGTGCAAGCAATAGGTCTTTGGGTTCTGTGAAGAAGGCTTCTTCTTCACCAAGTGACGGAGAGTCGTCCAATACAGAGACAGATACTTCCTCGTCATCAGATTCGGAGAGTGAAAGAGAAAGGGAAGAAAGGAGAAAGAGGAGGCAACAGATGTTAGCTGAAAGAGCTGCTGCAAAAGCAGCCCAGGCAATTATAGAACGTGAGAATTTGGTTGCTAGATTGGAAGGGGAGAAACAAAGTTTGGAGAAAATACTTGAAGAGCGAGCCAAACAGCAAGTAATGGAGGTGAGCCCATAGATATTCATTTTTTAACTTAGTAGCCTTTCGTGTATTCTGGTGATTGAGGTCCATGTATTCCATGTTCTTATACTAAACCCACATTAACTGAATAAATTTGTAGGTAAAGGTCCATCATTCTTTTATAAATATATGGTGCTTAAGTTGTCCTTTGTTCATTCTTTTATTAGTCGACTCTTTTATCAGAAGAATTCTTTACGAATCAACTTTTGGAGAAAAAAAATATAATAAAAGTATGGTTATGTGGTCCATATTTCTAAGTCTGACAATGATGGTTATGGGCTGTATCCTGAAATCTTTTCTCAGGTTATTGAGTTTCTTAATTTGATTAGGTGTATGTGTGTCTTATTTCTTGAAAGAGCAGGTAAACACTTTGTATTGACCTTTTCTTCTTTACTTAGCATGTTACTCAGGCTTCTTCTTCTTTTTTTTTTTTTCTTTTTTTCTTTTTAAGTTCTGTGGACCTGATATAATATTAGATCATTTTTTTTATTTGTATATCATACTCTACTGTTCAATACTGAATAGTTACTCATCCTAAGATCTATATAATTTCTGCTCTGGTGACTGTCCGACTTAACTAAGTGTTTTTGTTCAATAAAGGAGAATATGAACTGCATTTGTCTAGGTGTGTAGTATCTTCAGATGGCATCACCCAGTTTTATCTGTTTGGTTATAACTTTTTAGAGCAGAGAAATTCCAGCACAGAAATGTTAATAAGCAGATCCATCTTAATCCTCTAAGATTACTCTTGATTGCATTCATTCTTGTGGTACCATATTTTAAGACTTGTTAGTTGGTCCAAATATGTGAATGACGTGTCATTTAATTTACATAGGTCCTTACCCGCCCAAATGTCTTTTGTTTATTTAAAATATGCTCCAGTTGAAGTTGTGAGTAGATAATGAATACCTGTCTGCGAAATAATTAGAATAATGCAGCATGGCTAACTTATATGCCCCCAACAATTATGACAAGTGTTTCCTCAGAGAAAGAAACGGCTTGATAAAGACATATACTTGAAGTGTAACATTTTTTTTAAGATAATGATTGAAGTGTGTCTGGATGAGCGACAAAAAACTTTTAATAAATGACATGATCGAATGCCATGATATTACTAAAGTAATATTTGCATAATTGATCAGTATGCATCATTCTTCAATTAGTTATGGCTATGTGACCTACTTAGAGCTGATTGTTACTGATATCTATTATGTCCTACGATTATATGTAATTTGTTCCTTGTAGCTAGTTGCAAACTCTCATTATTTCACATGCATAATCAGTCGAGTCTTCAGTCTTACAGTTCTGTTGGCTGTCAGTCTTTGTTTTGCTAATTGGATTCTCTGGTATAGTAAGAACTCTCAAAATGGCTGTATTAATAACTCTGTCTTTTCAGGCTTCTGAGTTACAGTCAACAATGATGGAAACCATGGAAGCAGTCGAGCTGGAGAAGCAGAAACATAAAAATACTCGAATGGAAGCCCTAGCACGATTAGCAGAACTTGAGGTACAGTAGTTGAGCTTTAAAAGTAATCTTTAAGCGGTTGAAGATGTGATTATCTCAGTGTTGTTAAATAGCGGCCATGCCAGCACCATGGCGGGATGGCATGGCGGAATTTAGTCTGGCCGCCCGGCAGCAACCGCCCCTCCGGTGATCGTCTTTTTCCTTCTTTCCTTTCTCCTTTCCCCTGTTCACCATCGGTTGCCTTTTGTCCCTACCATTTCTCCATCTTTTTCCCAATCCTTTTGACTCGTTTTAATTTACAGATATATTTTTGGCCGCTATTATTAAATAAAAAGTAACAGAGTTTCTTTGCTTCCTGTTATTTTTTCAGCTCTTTATTTATTTAGTTTCAAATTTTCACCATTTTCTTAAAATAAAACTTTATGACTCCTTTATTTTTAAGCTCTAGATATTTGTTGATTTTCTGGTCTTTCTCATGTAACTAACTTTTTTGTATTTATTGACATATTTTAAGTTTTCATTACGATGTTATACATGTGTGTTTGTATGTGTGTGTATTAGGGTGTGTACATATATATATAAAATATATTTTATCATCCGCCATGCCTTCGTCCATTTTTCACTTCATCATCCACCATATATATTTATGGCGGTTTTTTGGCACGGCGCAATCCGCCATTGTTGACACTGGATTATCTCTAAAGTATATTATTATGTGCTAAGACGAACTTCATTTGCTCATTCACATGGCAATCACTGGTTAACTGGAGAATTGCATATTGGGGTATACATTGTGGGCCTTAGTTCTTTTCTGCCCGTGGCACTGAAAGCTTCTGTTTCCTGTAACTTGGATCATAATCTAATTTCTTTTCTTTTTTTTTTTTTCCAGAGTGCAAATGCTGATCTTACAAGGTCTCTTGCTAATGTACAGAAGAATCTTGAAATGGAGGTACTAAACATTCACACATCATAGATTTTTGTTAGCAATGATTACTTCATTTATCTGTGTTTTTCTCTCTTTTTTTGCAAATTGGTTACTGTTATCATAAATATCTTGATAAGTAAAAACATGTTTCTACATCCATAAAGATTTTGTTCTCTTGATGTTGATCAATGCATTTAAGGAAGTAGAAAAGAACTCAGACCTCTCTTTGCATTTTATTTCATTTATTTAGAACTTAAGTTATAATGTACCTCAAATTTTACATTTTTTGTAGATTTACATTCTTCTGCATGCTGTTTGTATAATATAGTCTGTCAACATTACTTTATATATTATTTTATAAACAATTCTTGGTATTTTTTTTGTTTCATGTTAGCAGCAGTGATCAAACATGCTAGGGTAATGTCATAAATTAATTCTAGTCCTCTTATCTGTTTGCTGAATTAGGTTGATTGTATTGCTGAGCTTCGTCAACAAATTCACGTGAAGGAAACAATTCATGAAGGTATTGACTAGAAAGTTTCATGCGCGTAGTTAATTTCCATTCATATCATAGCATATCATATCATATCTGTGAAATTTCATGCTTCATTCTGATTTAATAGTTTTCCTGCAACTCCTGATATTATTCTACAGCATACATCTCAACCACATCTTGATGTTGCTTCATGAATTATCTCTGTGTCATGTCCCATATTTTCCAAATTTTGAAGCCTTCACTTCAATTTTAACTTTAGGGTTTTATCTTTACTAGGGTAATTTGTAATTTGGAACTTTTATACAACTTCTAGCACAGAACTTTTCTCTTTATGCTGAAAGGTCAGTAAGAGAACCTATTTTAATTAATAGCCCTTCCCTAATTTATATATAAACGTTTCTCACGTAGTGGGCTTTATTTGATCAATAGGTTTTATTTGGTCAATATTAGGACTACACCATTCCTAAACCAGACTTGTAATATGCATCAATATTAGCTAGAGCTAAAACTGTTTTGCTGATTATATAGACATGTTTAACTTATGGAGGAATGGTTGATGTTGCTTTGTTGTTGGTAATACCAGAATGAATTACTGACTTTGTTTTGTTACTCCCGATAGAATTGAGAAGGAAAATATCAAGCATGCACGAAAATGATGGCAAAGTGAGTTTTACTTATTAGACATTGTCCAGGGCTGTCAGTTTATAGTGCATCAAATTATCCTCTTAACTAGCTCGGCTTGAATGAAACTGCAGCCAAGAGTTACAAAAGGTCTTGAATTTGAACTGGGGATGCTCAAGGCAGAATATTCCTTCATAAATGATAAAGTGGGAAGAATGCAAGAAAAGGTAACTCTCTTCCAGAGGGAAGAAAAAAAAAAGAAAAAAAGATAGCTGATTAATAAAATTGTGGTATGCAGTTATGTAAGGAATTTTCTACTAACTTCCATACAATTGTCCAGGCAAAGACTCTAGAAACAAGCATCGAGACCACCCAAAGAGAAATCGAAAACCCAACTGAAGTAGAGACTGAGCTCAAGCGCAGGCTTCGTCAGTTGACTGACCACTTGATTCAGAAGCAAGCACAGGTCCATTTTTCCAAACCCTTTGATTTCGAGCCAATAGGCATCTTGTTGTTTAAGAGTTTGAAGGAATTCACAATGAGTTGTATCTTTCGTGTTCCTTTATTTCTTATTTGAACAGAACTTGTCTTGCAACAGGTTGAAACGCTTTCCTCGGAGAAGGCCATGCTGCTGCTTAGAATTGAGGTAATTTTTGCATCCCTATTGATTTGGTTATATGTATCTAATTCTGTAATGATTTACCCAAATTTCGTTTTTAGGCGGTTTCAAGAATGCTTGATGAACACAAGCTTGGTATTGATTCAACTGAATTTCCCAGTGCCTCATCAAGGGATGAACGGGAATCGGGTTCATGGCGAATCTTGAATTCGAACCTGAGCTCTCTATTTAGTGGGAAAATGCAATCAGGACAAAGACATTTGGGATCGTTAGTTCGACAACTGGACTCACTTTTTTGCATGGGTGCTATGTTTCTTAGAAGGAACTCGACTGCTAGAAAATGGTCGTTTGTCTACTTGGCTTGCCTTCATCTCTGGGTAATGTACATTCTGATGTCACATTCTCAAGTGTCGGATGATGGTCGATCGGGTGCCGTGTTCTCCCTAGAGAATATTAATAACACTGGAAGTGTCTGATCTCTCTCTCTCTCTCTCCTTTGAAATTTATCTCGATCTAATAGGTAACGTGATGTACAGAAGTCACCATAATAAGAGCAGAGCATTATATGAACTATATTATCTACATTGACATTCCTTGGTGAAAGCATGAAGGCTAAGAACTTGACGAACTCAAGTCAGGTTGTAGATCGACACAGTTTTAAGTTATTGTCGGGAAACATGGTTTGGAATATAGCTCAAAGTTTAAACAGCAAAGTTGACAATAAAATTGATGAATTTTCAAATTAGTTTATCTTCTGTGCTTTGCTTCTTTGCTGTCTCTTATATTCCGCGAACAGGCATGCATAAATGACCAGCCCACAGATTTGTTCCACGTGGACATAACAAGAAGAGCATAATTTTTGTGTGCTAATCCGAATTTCAAAACTATATTGGTTCCTCAAAACAGAAGGACAAAAAAACAAAAAGAAAAAAAAAAAATCCTTGAACCCAATTAGATAATCAAGAGGCTCGACGTGGCTAGGAATATTTTGTCCATTTTGTGTTGCTATCTTACAGTACGTGCAGAACATGTTCGCAGTAAAGAACTTGAACACTTGAAGTTACACAAAGTGGCAGAACTGTACATGTTATTCAATTATTTTTATGGGCGAAATGAATTATAAAAAATTAAATCAAAACAATTAATGTATCAATAGTTAATTAGTTACTGAAAACCTTTCATAAGGATGGACTATGCCTAGAGTTCCAAAGCCGAAGCATTCCTGCAGCAAATTACAAGCAACGTTTTTTATGGCATTTGGCTAAATCAAACTGGAAACAGAAATATATTCGGCAAAATTATCCACAATCAATAAATGTCGAAACCCAAAGTGTTAACATGTCTGCATGCTGATAAGAATTCCACTGAGTCACCATAATAATTTGCCTCCATAATACAGCGCAGCTACATCACACAGGCACACAGACAAACACAATCAAAATAAGATTATGCTCCCTAAAAATCTCACCTAAACATAAAGCATTAATAAAAGGAAAGGAAGTGGATAGAGTTCTTGTCCCACATTACTGTCTTCATCCTTCCTTCCATTACACAACAAACTCAACCCTACAATTTTCAACAACTTCTCTAGAGAGACCCCATTTCTTACCTTTGATAGTCAGATGCTTTTTACTTTCCTTGGCTGCCAAGTCAACACTCTTCAGTTCTGAGACTGTTGAAGGGGATACTGTTCGGGCTGAGGCTGAGGCTGAGGCTGTGGCATCATAGTGATGCTCGCTGATGTCAGCTCAAGCTCTTGCAATGCATTTATGGCAGCTTCATTGTTAAGATATGGTTTTATGAAGTTTGCCGTTTGACTGATTCTTGATTGCTGTAAGAAAGAAAAGCACTTAATACATTTACCATGTCACCAATCCCATCCCGCAAATAAGGTCTCATTAATACAATATCGCGCAAATAAAGTAATTATGCACTTATTTATTTTTTATAGCTACCAACAATGTATAGCCATAAAATATAATAATGATTAAGTTATGCTGCTAACTGCTAAGTTCCTTTATTGCACATATTTAATTTGTATAGAGCCATAAATTATAAACTAGTGATTAGCTTTGAGAGTATACATTCAAAAAAATTCTAAATTTTACTTCCCAGTAACAATGATGGAGTTGTAAAAGATGTACACTCTAACTTTGTGGGAGGAAGACGTAAGTAATAAATAATTAACTACAGAAAATGTGAGAAAACTCGTACAAAAAACAACTCATGTAATAGAACTGAGTGCAAACTCACCAAATTTTCGAGTTTTGCTTTGAGATCGAGATAGTTCACTAGGAGCTGTGACTCTGGAGCTCGATTAACAGCTCCTGCTGATGCATTCTAGCAATCGTATGAAAGACAGAATGAAAGAGAATTAATTACATAATACATATAAACACAAGAAAGCACATCAACTTCAGACCATTAAGTAAAATTAATTTCTTCTAGCATTTGGAGTGAGGGTCATATATCGAGCTAGCCGTTCTCTAGTCTGTAAAATATGAAAGAAAGATGGAAAGTGTGATTGATTCCACAATACATATAAACACAAGAAAGCACATCAACATTAGACCATTCAGTAAAGTTAATTTCTTGTAGCAATTAGAGTGAGGACCACAGTGAGCTAGCTGTTCTCTAGGTGGTGAAATTTAGGGGGATCTAATTAGAACCTTGTCAGGTTAGCAAGATTTATATAGTACTAGGTGGGATATAATCGGACAAAACATGTAGACCGTCATATGGGGCATAGGAACTAGGGCTGGACATAATGGGAACTAGGCAGGGGGTTCTATACAACTGTTAAAAATACAATTACGGGAAACTGGTAAAAACACACAAGTTGGGCTGAGCACATGCAAGAGTTAGCACATTTACGCTGGCATTATTTACTGCTCTTTCATAGCACATCATAATTCTTTCGAACTTTAGAATGCTGCAAACTATTTTTTTAAACAACTGAGCATAAAGAGTATTTGGGAAAAAAGAAGAAAGGGAGAAAAGAAGACATTGGGATCTGAAAAGTTGGAGAAAGACATTACTCCTATTTGACTACAGGAATCAGTGAAAGCAAGTATCATCATTTCATTGTTCTTCCTAATTTTCCTTTACAAAACTAAACTATGTTCACTTTGGTGGCAAGGCATGATGAACAAACAGCGTTGATGTATATAGTACAGATTAATTAATGTGATATGGCATAGACTTAGGTTATCAATTAATTGATTATTGTGATCACATAGATTTGGCTCGTTGATTTATTTTCCGTCTTTAGTTTGCTCCTACACTATAAAGCACATATATATCATTGTTTTGAAACCCGGATCGGTGGTTGACCCGGAGGCGCCTCTGGGTCACCGTGTTTAATTGTTGAACCGGGTAATTAGTTATAAAATAGTTAAATTATATTTATATACTTTTTATAGCATAATTATACATAAACATAATAAAAACGAATAATTTATACCCCAAAATCTTAATAATTATCATAAATATTTATCACATAAATATATACATGTACATAATTTTATTTTTAAAAATATAAAAGCATATATATGTATACACTCGGGTTGAACCGAGTTGACCCAGCCAAGTCAATACTTGGGTCGACTGGGTGCTATCCAGTCCAAAGGACCTACCCAGACTGGTCCCGGCTTAGGGTCGACCATGTCCCAGGTCAACCCACCAAACCGGTCCAGGTTTTAAAATACTTTATTGTAACCTTAAATATGACAAATACAATCAGATTTATTTCGTTCTACATGGAATCAAGGAATCAAAGCCTGGTTAGTGTGAGTTTCGGGTCTCACCTCCAACCCAAATCATCACGCTGTTGGACCGGCCTTTCGGTCGAATTTCACAATCAACTCCAATGCATGTAATCTCACACAACCGCAATCCGCAAGTGTGGCCAGAATCCTTTCCAATCAACACTAGACTGGTCAGTATTCTCCATCTACGAGCCTCTGTTATTCATCTTGTGTTGTGAGCATCTTTGGTTAGGTCGACATTTTCAACATTTGGGAGTTCTTGGATTTAAATCTGATCCATTCGTTCAACTTTGGGTTAGTGTTACTTTTCTATTTGGACATTCTAGTTGGTGTTATTTGTGGTTACTTGATCATCATTATTGCTCCACTTAGTGATTTTTTGCCCCGTGTTTTGTTTACTCATGGACAAGCAAAGAAAGGTACTTCTGCAAATGGTGTTTCGTACAGTTATAACGTGGTGGTCACCATCTTAATCGATGATTATGCCCAACTAACTGAGACTGTAACCACAACCCACCGGTGTTTTTGGTACTTCAGCCACTTGTCTAGTAACTAAAGGATCTAAATGGGTTATTGATCCTGGTGATTCAGACCATACGGAAGGAAACTCAAATCTTTCTCCTCCTTTTGTTCTCTTGCACTCTTTACTCATGCCACTATTCCCAGGTGCCGGAATAGTTCACCTTCCACCCTCTACGTCACTACACTCTGTAGTACGTTTGCCTAACATTGCCTTTTAATTTGCTATCCGCTTGTAAACTTACAAAATCCTTGAATTCTCCTTTTTCTCTGATTATTGTGTTCTTCAGAGTCTTGAAGAACATAAAGACGTGAATCTGACGGCCTTTATGTAACTTCTTGAGCTCACAACCCGATGCAAAATGGGGTAGTTAAACTTTGAATCGGCATTTCCAATTGGTTGCTCGAGCATTTTCGCTTCATATGAATGTTATTAAAAACATCGCTACTCCATGTTTCTCACTAATCACATGCCTTCTATTGTGTTAGGTAATGTTCTCATTCTCTATCATTTGTCCAAATAAATAAAGACATTTTTTCCCATAGAACCCAAATTCTTTTGTTATACATGCTTTGTCTGGTATATTAGAATGGACTTCACCTTGTTTGGGGTACTCACGTGTGCAAAAGGGATATCGATGCTTCTATATTACACCGACTTCTTCTACTTTTTCCTACTCCCGCGTTAGTATTTCGTTTTTCGTTGTCAGAAGGATGACATTTTAGGATGACATTTTGGTATAACCTATTCCAGTACCTAAGCATCCTCAGAGACCATCCATCTAGCCTCAGCAATCGTCCCCTATTCATGACTAATAATTCATATTCATGTCCTTGCCATACTTGATGCCCCAACACTTTAGAGATTCCGACTTCATGCCCTTGGCCTACTCCCTGCAATAGAAGATACTACATCGAGCTCACCAATCTCCGAACCACCTAAAACCGCTGATCTTGCTCTCGGAAAAGGTGTACATATCCAGTTGTCTATGTTGTTTCCTATGATCATTGAGGTCTAGTCCCCTATTATTCAAGTTTATACTTAATGCCCACATTTAACTTCAGAGATTCCGACTAAATAATTCATATGTATCTCCTTGGCCTACTGCTTCAATAGAAGATCTTGCATCTAGCTCACCAATCTCCGAACCACCTAAAACCGCTGACCTTGCTCTCCGAAAAGGTATCAGTTGTCCATGCTGTTTCCTATAATCATTTGTCAACTTCTTCAAGTTCCTTTATAGCAAACATTGAGTCCATGTATATTCCTAAAATAGTTAGTGAAGCTTGGTTGGCATGAGATAAAGAATAATGGTACGTGGACTTTGGACGAATTACCTGTTGGGCTGCCAAAAGGCAATTGAATGTAAGTGGGTATTCACAGTTACAGTAAATTCAAAAGGGTCACCTTGAGGCTCGTTTGGTTGCTAAAGGTTATGCCCAGACTTGTGGGCATTAATTATTTTAGAACTTTCTCTGCGTTGGAGAAACTTACTTCTATCTGACTACTCAGCTCATATGCGTAGCAGCCACTGGTCCTCTTCACGGGCTTAACCTATATCTATAATCTATAATCTATATCTATCTATCTATCTATAATAACACTCTTTTAAAAGAAATAGTAGTTTCTTGAAACTTTTGAATTGCCAAGAATGCCCTCACCAAAGATAATTTTAAGGTTATCAATGTAATTTTCTTATTAATGTTAGGAAGTTACAACTAGCAAGGTATGTTAAGTTTTTAAACCTCCACTTCTTAATTTACTTTTATTCATTATCTTTTATTTTTTATGCTTAATTATATCTTTAAGTTTTACATATACAAAAAGATTATCTACGCAAATTTATGGATTTTAGATAAATATTTTATTCTTAATTATATTGTGCAGAATTAATCTACATATGACGTTAGGTTTCGGTTTGGTTATTTTAAAGGTAGTTTTCAAATGTAAGGGAAATATCATCGTAAGATTTTTTATATAAAATATACTTTATTTAATAAGTGTAAAATATATAATGCACCAATGAAAGTATCATCTTTTAATTTCCAAATATCATATTGTTTACTATAGAGACTTTTGGTTATAGTATTAAGAAAATTAAACAAGATATAACACTCTTAAAAGAAAGAATAGTTTCTTGAAACTTTTGAATTGCCAAGAATGCCCTCACCAAAAATAATTTTAAGGTTATCAATGTAATTTTCTTATTAATGTTAGGAAGTTACAACTAGCAAGGTATGTTAAGTTTTTAAACCTCCACTTCTTAATTTACTTTTATTCATTATCTTTTATTTTTTATGCTTATTTATATCTTTAAGTTTTACATATACAAAAAGATTATCTACCCAAATTATGGATTTTAGATAAATATTTTATTCTTAATTATATTGTTCAGAATATGACGTTAGGTTTTGGTTTGGTTATTTTAAAGGTAGTTTTTAAATGTGAGAAAAAATATTATCTTAAGATTTTTTAAATAAAATATACTTTATTGAATAAGTGTAAAATATATAATGCACCAATAAAAGTATCATCTTTCAATTTCCAAATATCATATTGTTTAATATAGAGACTTTTGGTTATAGTATTAAGAAAATTAAACAAGAAAAATTTAGTGAACATGTTGAGAATGATTGACTCAAAAATAATTCTTCAACATACAAAATGTCATTTCTGTGGAAAAAAGTTGTTCGTTAGTCTAAAATATATAATCTTAATAGAAATATTTTGTTTAAATTATTTACTAAAATAATATGCATAATATGATTTAAGCTTACCTGATAATAGTATGTATAGTATAAATGTTCTTTTATGATAATATGTGTTACATAAATTAATATACTATTTACTTTAATTGTAATATAGATAAATATAGAGCAATTATAAAAGTAAAAATAAAATAACTAAAATCGATTTTAAATCTGAATTTCAAAGTACGCATACTTATTCGAAAATTTATAGTTACAATTAAATTAATTAAATAAAAATAATTAATATCTTTACTTTAATTTTGTTGTCATAAGCCAGTCTTATATATAAAATCATTCACAAATTAAATGTTTTAAATTTATCATCTCTAATTTCCAAATATCATATTACTATAGACTTTTAGTTATAGTATTAAGAAAAGTAAAGAAAAGTAAACAGGAAAAATTTAGTGAACATGCATATGTTTAAGAATGATTGAATAAAAAACAAGTCTTCAACATACATAAATTTATAAATTTCAGAGGAAAAATGTTATTCGTTAGTGAAAAATCTATAATCTTAATAGAAATATTTTGTTTAAATTATTTACTAAAACAATACGCATAATATGATTTAAGCTTACTTGTAATTAGTATGAATAGTATAAATGTACATTTATGATAATATATGTTACATAAATTAATGTACCACTTACTTTAATTGTAATATAAATAAATATAGAGTAATTATAAAAATAAAATAAAATAATTAAAAACAATAAATTTACGTGCTTATTAGATAATATATAGTTGTAATTGATATCGACTAAAAAAATAAATAATATATTTACTATAAATTTATTGTTATAAGACACTCTTATTTATAAAACCATACACAAATTAAATGTTCCATAACGCTTCTCAAAAATAGGGACAATAAACTATATAAAAATATTGGCGAAGATATAAAAATAATATTAAGATAAAAGTAAAATATGAAAGAATCATCATTTTTATAATTCATTTAAAATGGATTTATTTATTTTTTCACATTTAGGATAGTCTTGAAAATCCGTGAACGAAAGGCATGCAAACAATGTAAGGAGATGCAACAATAATTTATGTTGGACAATATATATAGATGGTTACCTTCAATCGACCAATGTTGGACAATATATATATAGATGGTTACCTTCAATCGACAATGTTGGACAATATATATATAGATAGATGGTTACCTTCAATCGACCAATGTTGGACAATATATATATAGATAGATGGGTACCTTTAATCAATGTTATTGTTCCTAATCTTTTTCAAATAAATTTTCTTTTTGAAATAATTACGACTTCAAAGACATTTTCAAATATTTATTCATCTTCTAATGTCATTATATCCAGAGAGAAAATATATATCTAACTAATATGAAATATTATACTTGCAAATATAATTTAATTTGCAACCACTATAATCGAAATAATAGAGAAGGAACATTCAAACATATTTGGTTAGCTTCCAATCAATAATAAAAGAAATGATCATTACAAATGATAGTTAAAACAAATTCGAGTTATTTTTCAAAGAGTGTGATGCAAAAAGAAGACATTAGAAAACTAAATTGTGATGACAATAACAATGATTAAAAATAATGAGGATATCATAAAATAAGGAAACCTATGAAGACATAGATTTCTTTAGCATTTATCATTTAAAATATCACATAAAAAAATATTAATTTTGTTTTAGATTTTCAACCCAATGTTTTTTATTTAAGGAAAGAAAATTATATTATACTATACAATATAACTCTAAAAAAAAAAAAAAAAGCAAAGAAAAAACAACAATATCACGTGCGTAGCACGTGCATCTTCCTAGTATTAAAAATGATTTTCTTCCGAACTTTCTTCAGGAAGAGGTTGTATGGAGCAATCGCCTGGGTTTGGTGCTTGGGGGAGCGAGGGAAGGTATGTTGGCTTCATAAATGCTCGTACGGGTTGAAGCAAAGTCCTCGACCTTGGCTTCATTGGTTCAGGCCAACCATTTTGGATATGGTTTAATAAAAGGAAAATCTAACCATGCCGTATTCATCGCATTGTGGGTGCGTTTTGCTAGCTATGTATATTGATGATATCATATTATAGAAAATAATAGTGATGGAATACCAGTTACTTCATGCACATTTTCAAACGAAAGATTTGGGATATTTGAAAATGTTCTAGCTAATGAGAATCAAGAAAGGAATCTATGTGTTCAACCTTTACCTAGAAAATAGGTGATAAGTTGTGCAGACTCCGATGACTCCCAATATACAAGGAAAAGATGATGGTAAGCTATTCCGTGATCTTGAGTGGTATCAAAGACATGTAGGAAAGCTGAATTCTCTCACTTTAACATGTTGTGACACTAATTTGCAGTTGGTGTAGGGAGTCGGTTTATGTCACCTCTAACCAATTGTCATTGGGCTCTTCTGACAAAATTTTGTGTTACTAAAATGGAGCTCCTGCACGTAGATTCCTTATAGGCCAAATGGTGATTCCCTAAGTATAAGTAGAATGTTTACCCAAGTTAATTGAAAATATTGTCATGGTAACACGACTACAAAGATGATGATAGAAGGTTAATATGGGAGGAAATCTAATCTCGTTGGAAAAGCAAGAAACAAGATGTTTTTCTTTCAATTGCTGATAAGTTTGGCTGATTCAGCTGGTTTAATGTATGAGTATGGATACATCAGTTGCTAAGTAGATTTTGCTAAATAGATTTGGCTGATTCAGTTGATTCAATGAGTGAGTATGGATACATCAGTTGCTAAATGAGCTAGAGTTAGAGCTTAATGTTCTTGAAAAACTTTGGTGGTGACATCTAAGAAGCACTACATATTATTGCATTGAATTTGGTATTTCAAGAACGAAACGAACATATCAAGGTAGATTGTCATTTTGTTGATGACAGAGAAGAAGGATTCATTTCTACAAGATGTGTTAATAAGAAGACTAGCTTAGAGACTGCATTCACCAAGGGGTAGGAATGAATAACAGTGGTAAAAAATTGGGCATTATTGATATAGATGCTTTAGTTTCAGGGGGATTATTCATGTATATACGTATATATATGGTATAGATTTGGTAATGTAAATATGGTGTGAATTAGAGAGCGTCTGATTAAGACAAATACTTTTCAGGAAACCGTTATAATGAAAGCGAACAGACATATCCAAAATCAACTATAACTCTCATGTGATATATATATGCACACAGACACACACACACACAATATATATATCAAGTGAACAGACATCCAAAATCAACTAGAACTCTCATGTGATACACACACACACAGGCACATACATATACACACACATACATTTATACATACATTTACACACACACACATATATATATATATATAAATGTATGTATGTATAAATGTATATATATACATTTATACATACATACATTTATATATATATATATATATACATTTATATATATATATATATACGAGTGCTTGTGTGTTTGTGGATTGGATTTAATGTCAACCATTCTTAAAAAAATTATATAGGGGCACATAACAACACTATAGGAAAAGAAAAAAATATCAACAGAATGAATATATTAGTAGGAAGAGTAGAATAAGGTTTCAACGGAATGAATATTCTTAAACAGAGCAACTACAGAAAACGAAAAAGGAAGCAAGGGATAAAAGAAAATATACTATCTAAGAGAATTGGCAAACAAGAAAAATATTGAATTCAATCAAATGACTTAATTTTAGGCCCGCTGTAAATTTATGCAAAAACAATTAACTGAAAATGGCTTCAATATAACAAGAACATTTATGAAATCCACTAGAACTTCCAAGTTAAAGACTTACTAGTAGGGGTAAGAGAGCCATGTTATGGAATATACAAAATCCCTGATATAAATTACAAGTCACAAGAATGATTGAGTCTTCGTTATGAAGTTATAAGCTGAAAGCATGAATAAATATTTAAACTGAAAGACCAGCATACAGGTCGTATGTTTGTTCAAAAGATCCAATCAAACATTGATATCAACATAAAACAGAAAACAGTGTTCAATAGTTCATGTGTCTTTTATTAACATTTGGTAGTTCTTCTAAATGCATCCTGGAACAGAAACAATCTGCTTTTTTCAAATTGTAAAACATTACTTCCTTTACACTTAATAATAAATTTGCGCGCATAATTTTAGATAGGCAAAAGTTTATGAAATAACAGGACAAATGAATTTCCATCCTATATCATACAAAAGTCCATAAAAGCATAAGTTTCTTCCCACTAGAAGTTAATCCTCAAACTTGGGTGAGATTTTCAAAACTTTTTGTATGTGAACAAACCATCTGATAAACAAAAAGATGACATGAATTCATGCTTCTAGGACCACTAAAACATACTTACAGCTCTTGCAAATAGTAGCATTAGAGAATTCCTTTTCATTTTTTGATAAAACATATTATATTTGCACTAATTAATAATTTGCTTCATCAATCCTTCTTTACTTGATCATTCTCTTAAAACATCATCTACAGCATTTCACGTTCTTCAGTACATTACATTCGTGCATTCGTCTAGCCTTTTTCAGAGATCTTATTTTTAACAAAATACATTTTTAGCTAGAGTTTACAGAGAATTACATTTTCCTGGCTTGGGGAAAGGAATAATAAATACAATGAATTTTACCGTAAAATGATTAAAAAAAGGAGGTTTATGTAATCTACCTGCAAAAGTCATGCTACAACGGACAACCTAAAAAGTATAAAGAGATGAAAATTCACACCTTACCACGTTTGTAGATTAATACACGACTCAGGTTTGTCCCCACATGTTATCGTGTAATGTGGAGTCGATTTGTTAAACTAAATTTTCACTACATATATGAAGTCATAATAAAAGGACACCACCGCTATAGCTCAATGCATTGATACACACTCACTCACACGCACGTATATATACATATTTATATTTTTAGCAGAATTCCATTTAATCATCCAGTACAGAGCACTTCACAATTATGTAATATTATCAAGTATGCAACACATTCAAATTGTATACATTCATCACCCAAAAAACACAGGAAAAAAAGCTAGTCACTTCAGTAATTAACACACTCTTCTAATGAGAATACCTCAATTTCAAGTTGTAATTCTAGGCCATTATATTACTACCAATTAATTACCAACATTTAGACTGACAAACCCACCCACATTTCAGTAGCAAATAAGAGAAGAAAGAAAGAAGTTTACTGATAACTCTTATCAAATGAGTAGAAAAATATAGATTAGCTTACTGATAATAGTTCCTCACCTTTCTAGGCCGGCCCACAGGCTTACCAGACAGCTTCCGGAGCTTCTTTGGCCGCACAGCACTCAGATTCCTTGCCTTCTTTGCCACACCACCAGCCTTGGGAGGCCGCCCTCTGCCACGCTTCATGGGCCCAACTCCACCGCTGACTGTGGCAGGCACACCATGGCCAGCTGGCACCCCACTGCCGGGAACACCCACTCCCAAACCCAAGCCCTGGACCACATTAATCGGCTTCGGTGGCCTTCCACGTGGCCTCCCGGAGCCCTTCCTCACCTGGACTGGAGGTGCTGCACCAGCCTTGGGTGGGCGGCCAGGCCGCCGCTTAAGCCCGTGCAGCTTAGGTGGGCGCCCACGGCCCCTCAGGGGTTTCACAGCAGCAGCTGCTTGCCCATTAATGGGTGCGGAAGCCACATAAGGCTGTGGGTGTGGCTCGGTGCCAAACTGTATAGAATTTGTGTCCGGATGGAAAACAGGCACAACAACTTGGGCGGCGTCAGGCATGGGCTTGGGCTTGGGAGGGCGCCCTGGCCGTCTCTTGGAAGCTGGGTCAGAAGTAACGGCGTTAACAGCGCCGTTTATGGGAGCAGGGATGGGAGGGGGAGCAGATCCAGGGAGCTTGTAGGAGTATTTGACCATGAGGAGCTGACCATTGATTTTCAACTGCTTGAGGTGGTGAGCCAGCAGAGCCTCATGCGTCGACGGCAGGTCAGTGTAGTGATCCCCTATGTACTTAGCTATGGCCCTCTTGCTCGATCCGTTTGGCTCCTTCAACGCCGAAATCGCCGCCGTTATCATCTGCGAAAGACATCAAATAAAATCAAAATTAAAAAATTGAAGAAAAAGAAGAACACCGCAACTTCACAGGAGAATGAAGAACAAAAAAGGAGGTTTCTATAGGCTGTTTTTCTTAATCCCCCTCCCTTCTGGGCCACTGGAAGAAGTATTCGAGTACCTCAGCGTAAGGTGGATGGTTGTGGGGGTAAGATTGGGCGGGGGTAAGGATGGCAGCGGCGGGGCCGGTGTCGGTGGCGGGAAAGACCGCCGTTGGTTGGTCGGGTAACGGTGGTGGATCCAACACGGGCTCCATACACTCGATTTCGAAAATATCCTAGAGAGAGAAAGAGAGAGAGGGAGAGAGAGTAGGAGCGTGCTGTCCGTTGTGTGCGTTTGTAGATAAAGATGAAAAAGATTTATTTTAGGTGGTCGGGTGGGGTGGGGTGGGGAGGGGTGAGGTGTTTTGGACCGTTGGCAACCAATGTGCAAGTGAGTAGGTTCATACATGCAAATTTGTCTATTTAATTTCCGGATTCTCATACAATAATAACCCAACGATTCGAAATATCACACATTGTATCTCATTTTTTAATGTTCGTAAATTGTTTTTCTATATATGTATAGGAATGGTTATGGTGAGAATAAGTGAAACAAGTAAGAAAAAATTTTAACCATTTTTATGATAATCAAATGATAAAAATATAAATAAATAAATAAATATTTTTACATTCATTAAGTACAGTGGGGACATTTTCTCAACCGCCACCATCCACCCACATTAATAGGGCCCACCCCCACCAACCAGCTCCATCCAGTTGTCCATTTCCCTCTCTCTCACACACACACAAACAGACACATACAGACTCACACTCCTCCGACCTCTCTACGGTGCCGCACATAGATTCGCCCAAGGCTACCAAAAGCCTCTATCGAGTCGTTTGTCGTCACGCCCGAGAATGGCAGCACCGTTGATTGTCGTCGCCTATATTTCTCCTGATCCGCCAATCCCGATTGCGTGGTCCGCGCTGGTCACCGACGGGAGGATCGTCGTCCACACAGTGGCAATCTAGTAGATGGCAATGGTGCGGGCGAAGATGGTCTGACTGAGCCAAGTTGGAGTCAGTCCGGGCCCTGACGGATTGCGGTCACGGCGAGACAGGCCTGCAGTTGTACGTGTGGCAGGACAGGGCGAAAGTGGTCACACGTGTTGGTGATGGTTTCGGCCACACGCGCGCGATCGCCCGCCTGCCGGCCAGCTCAGCTCGGGCTCACATGTCCGAGCTGGATAGGCCACAACAACAATTCTCTTTATTATACTAAAGAGAGTTGGAGAGGTCACAACAAGAATAAAGATATGTACCAAGTGTTAGTGATAGCTTCTGTCACACGCGGGCGCGCCAGCCTTCCGAACGGCTTGGATCGGGCCCCTACCTGGGCCAGGGTATGGGACTTAGGACTTGGGTCTTGGGCCTTGGTCCTACTTAGGGGCAACTACATTAACTAACTCAATATGTTAGTATAGATAGAAGCATTAGGGGAATATCTAGAGCTATATGTGAAATAGTGACAACATTGTTTTTCATTTGTATTATTATATCCATGATTACTCTGCAAAAAGCCAAAATTAAACTACTTCAATCTCACACGACATTGAAGAACTCTTAAAATTTGTCCTTCCACATCTCTCCTTATATATGAATACAAACTTTTTAAAAAATAAATGTTAATTTCTTGTGCTTTACCATTTTATGGTTGTGTTTAATTGATAGGTTATAAGATTATGTTTGATAAACCTACCTGATAAGTTAACTGATAGCTATTGAGCCAACTGATAGTTTATAAGTGAATTTCAAGCTTATAGCTGATGGCTGAAAAGTAGTTGATATGATAAAATGTTTAGTAAATTAGCTAATAAGCCAACTGAAATAAAATTTCAACGGGCTTGTTTGAAAAGCTGCCCAATGAAGTTTATGAGATAAGCTCGAGCTTTTTAAAAAAACTCGTCCTACCAAACCAAGCTTATTTAAATATAAAAATATTAAAAGTTAACTAAATAAGCTATAAAGTAACTTATGATGCTTACCAAACACACTCTATGTGTAAATTCGAGTTCTTAATGTTGATCATGACTTTTATCATATACGTTTTTATTTGTAGAATTATCTGCGATCAATTTTCTATATATAAAACTAATTATCTTTTGACAAATTTTAGTTTGATATTCATCTTACACATGATTCAATCTCACACATGTGAAATATAAAATAGTTGTATATACCTTTATAAAAATATACTATCTATTAAAAAATAAAATTATAATTCATCAATTCACATTAGTTCTATCAATCCTAATTGAAAAAATAAAAATATAATACATCAATTAACATTAGTTTTATACTATAGGATGAAAGATTCTTAGTTTTATACATCAATTAACATTAGGTTTAGGATAAAGAGTGCCCCTTTAATTTCATCTTTCCATCCCGAAAAAATCTCCGCCCTCTCTCTTCCTTCTCACGAAAAAAAAAAAATCTGATTTTGACCGTTGCCTCCCTGCTTCCCCTGCCATGTTCCACCCAAGGGACACCGACGCGGAGCCTCCATTTCCTTCCTTTGCCGTGAGATTTCGCCGCTGCTTTGCATTTGCATCACGGTTGGGGTTGTCGTCGACGAGGAGGAGGGGAGGGTTGCTGCCGTATCAGTCAACCGCTCCGATCGAGGAGTTGCTGGCGTAGGCTATGGAGTCATGGTTCATTTCGTGCCTGCAGTTCTTGACCCCTTTTGGGTCCGACTACTGCGGAGTTGGATCTCTTTTTTCTTCCGGCAGTCGGTGGTTGGGTGCCACAGTTGAGAAGATGGTGATGGCGGGCCTCTCGCTTGATCGTCATCAGCTGTTTGGTTATCGAGTTTCAAGAGTAGAACCGGCTAGTTAGCTTCAAATTTGAGTAGCCATTGTCGTAGCCTTATGGAGTGTGGAGTTTGAAGTGCCCAGATTTGAGTCTATTGCCTTGTCTTTTCTTTTCGTTTGGTAGTCCTGGGATGTTGGTGCTTCTTGGTGTAGAGACCGAGTTTGAGGGTTGCCAGAAGACTTTTAGTTCAGTCTATAGTTATTTTGGTTTATTTAGTTAGGTTGTTTTTCATTTTTCTTGTATTTTGCTGTTTGTTTGGTTGTTAGTCTCCCTTGGTGGAGTTCTTTAGTCTCATTTATAGAATAGCTTAGTCATTTTTATAAAGTTTTATGTTCTGTTTGTTTGGATGTTTTGTAGGGTTGATTTTGAAGGGGAGCTCATTTGTTAAAAAAACTCTCCCCGTGGTTAGTTTCTTTATGTAAGTTGACAGTTAAGATGATCATTGTAACCAATTGGCTACCGGTTGTACTCATTTTGAGTCACATTAGTAGTATTTGATGTTTGAAAAAAAAAGTGTCATTTAAACAATAATAATAATGAAATTCTTTAAAAGATATATAAATGTTAAAATAGAAAAACTATTATTATTTATTTTAAAATTTTACGTATAACCTTTTTTAATTAATACCTATAGATAGATACTCATTAGTTAGTACAAAGTTTATCTATTGCAATGTTTTGTTTGAAATTAGTTATATGTTTTAGAGTCTAGTTTAGGATGGACAAACATGGGGAGTGGGTAGATAAAAGGGCAATGATAGTTGCTCACGCGTGAAAGGTTGAGCAAGAAAAAGGAAATGTAACATAAAAAAGTCTTTTCCTTGCGTGAATATATATAACAACTTCAATGGGGTCACCGATCATCCCTCCAAAGACGACTGCGCCGTTCTCTCTCCTCCACAAGAAAAAACACACACAGATTGGGATAGAAAATTGTATGTGAGACTGATTGGTAAGGAATCGAGATTCGAATCGACGTGTGAGAGGAAAAAAAGGGAGAGAGAGAGTGAGGCTTGCTCCCTTTTTTTTTAGTGTGTGTGTGTGTGTTTTGTGTGAGTTAAATTATATGGGTGGAGGGGCGTTCATGGATGGGGTTCGTCGTTGGTTCCATCGTGGCCCAACATCTGTCGCTCATAACACTTCTTCTTCTTTAGCTTCTTCCAGATTTAGTAATGACAATGAGCCACACTCGGATTCTGTTACTCTGAGGGAAAAACAAGGACAAGAGGGAAGTTTGATGATCGTTGAGGACTTAGATATCTCGGGCCTCAAGTTAATTAAAGTCCCTAAGCGGGTTTATTTCCCTGTTCCGCTTTCATCAATGGATTCCCAGAAAAAGGTTGTTTTTTTTAGTCTTTGGTTTTTAGGGCCTTCCTTTTTTCTATTTTCTATCCAACCTTTTGACTTTGGTTTCTCTTTTTATGATTAGGATTTGTGTAGATCTATGTTTGATTTTTGAAATCTCAATGGATTTTGGATGATGATCTTGCATTGTTATCATTGTATGAAGGAATTCTGGGTGTTATAGTTGGGATTGTGGTCTGCATAATATGATCTTGAAAATAATTTTTTATACATTTACATGTTGTGTACCATTGTGAATCGATCTAGGTTTTTCAGATGTTGATAATGTTTTTAAGTACAAAAATGAAAGAAAACAGATAAATTTCTCTCTCTTTTGTTAGTGAACTGTTTGCAACACTGGACAACAGATTCTATAAGACAGTTTGGAATTGCTCAGTTGAAAATTCTAGTAGATGGGCCTTTCTTCTCTTATTAGCCTTGTGCTAAGATGCGTAAAACTGGTGGTTGTCTACTTAAGAGCTGCTGCACGTTTAAATGGCATAACCCGTGGAATGCTTTCTTGTTTTTACATCCAAGAACAATCAGGCAGCTAAAAAAAAAAAAAAANAGGGAAATGTCTTTGGAAAAACAAAGCTTTATGTATTATTATTTTAATCTGTATTTGTTAAAATAAGAAATGAAAAATAAAGTTTATGTGGGGCTTCAATAGGAACAGGCTGATGTCACTAACCGAGTATCTTTGTTACAGAATAATCTGGAAACTGAGTTCTTCACGGAGTATGGAGAGGCAAATAGGTATGAGGTTCAAGAAGTTGTTGGAAAAGGTAGTTACGGTGTTGTGGGTTCTGCAGTAGATACCCACACTGGAGAAAGAGTCGCCATAAAGAAGATCAATGACGTGTTCGAGCACGTTTCTGATGCCACACGAATTCTTAGGGAAATCAAGCTCCTTCGGCTGCTTCGGCATCCGGATATTGTCGAGATCAAGCATATAATGCTCCCACCTTCAAGGAGAGAATTTAGGGATATCTATGTTGTTTTTGAATTGATGGAATCTGATCTTCACCAAGTAATCAAGGCAAATGATGACCTAACACCAGAGCATTATCAATTTTTCTTGTATCAGCTTTTGCGCGGATTAAAGTATATTCATACAGGTTTTTTTTCCTCCTCTTTCTTCGTCCTTTCTAACCTTAGGAAAAGAAATTCATTTGATATCATTGACATGCATGTTATTTTTCTGTTCAGCAAATGTGTTTCACAGAGATTTGAAGCCAAAGAATATACTTGCTAATGCCGACTGCAAGTTGAAGATTTGTGATTTTGGTCTGGCACGTGTGTCGTTCAATGATGCCCCATCTGCAATATTCTGGACTGTAAGATTTCATCATAATGGAAATGTCTTGTTTATAGTTATATTTTGGTATGTGGAGCTCAGCTTTCTAACCTTTTGATTTTGGTTTCCATTTGCTAAAGGATTATGTTGCAACTCGGTGGTACCGTGCTCCTGAGCTGTGCGGTTCCTTTTTCTCTAAAGTAAGCTCGACATTTCTGCTAAGGACTTCGTACATTGTATTTTCTTTATAGAATGACTCTTCGATATATAATATCTTTGCTAGTAGGACTTGCATGCCTTTATGGTTTTCTTGATTAATGCTTATTTCATTACTATGCCGACTTGTGTTTGACTTTCTCACCTCTTTTAAAATTGTGTACGTGGATGCAGAACATAAGTCAGTATACATTAGTCTGTCAAAGAGAGTGTAAAATTCTCTTTGTTGTCTTACTCAACTGTTTAAGGTTGACTTGTCTAATCCCCAGATAATAGAATTTCACTTACTAGTTTCTGTTTCTTTATCATGGAGATTACTAATCTGTCCTGAACCTGCTATGTTGATTATGGTTGCTTTTACATCATATGGCCTTTATAGTGCATAACTCTAAGATCTTAGGTCTCTATTTATATGGGTAGGCTCGATAAAGAAATGGGTAGGCTTTTAATAAAGTGAATGTGCTTACTTCTGAAATGTAGGGTCATGCAATATCAAAAGCAACTAATTTATTGTCTCATTTTTCTATAGACTTCTAAGTTATGCTAATTGCTAACTTTTTGGAGTTTGGTAAACTACATGCTTCCAGTAGTAACGGAAATTTTTTCTGTCCGCGTGTGAACTGTCTGAACAAAGGACGATTATCTGTTAAAGAAATTACGGAGCATGTACTCATAACTCGAAGATCTTAAGTCTCTATTTATACGGGTAGGCTTGCTATAGAAATGGGTAGATTTTTAATAAAGTGAATGTGCTTACTTCTGAAATGCCGGGTCAGCAAAATAGAAAGCAACTAACTTATTGTATCATTTTCTGTAGACTTCTAAGTTATGGTAACTGCTAAGAGTATTTTGGTTATACATATTTGAAGTAATGAGCATGTGCAGAAACTGTGCGTTTACAATTATTCATGAACTGCTCCTAATTTTCTTGTTTGCAGTACACTCCTGCTATTGATATTTGGAGCATCGGGTGCATATTTGCTGAGATGCTCTCAGGCAAGCCATTGTTCCCTGGGAAAAATGTGGTCCACCAGTTAGATCTAATGACGGATTTGCTCGGCACACCGCCTCCTGAAGCTATCGCAAGGGTAAGTTAGTAAACCTAGGCTCCTATTTATTTTCTGTTAGATTAAAACATTTTACTGAAGGAAGAAGCTCTGTGTTTCATGTGCTCCAATGTAAGTGAATAAAGATAAACTCTTGTCGTATAGCCATTATAACAGACTTATATGTACGGGTCATAATGGCAGATCAGAAATGAAAAGGCAAGAAGATACCTCAGCAGCATGCGCAAGAAACCTCCTATCCCGTTTACTCAGAAATTTCCAAATGTCGATCCTATGGCTTTACGCTTATTGGAGAAGCTACTTGCTTTTGATCCAAAAGATAGACCAACTGCTGAAGAAGTAATTTACAATGTCCAGTTGTTTTAATTATCGTTCTTAAGTTGATGTTAGTAAGAATAAATAAAATGATGGATTTGTTTGCAGGCGCTGGCTGATCCGTACTTTCACGGGCTAGCAAATGTGGACCGCGAGCCGTCCACTCAGCCCATCTCAAAACTTGAGTTTGAGTTCGAGAGGAGAAAACTAATGAAAGATGATGTTAGGGAGCTTATTTATAGGGAGGTAAAGCATAACAACTTCAGAATGCATGTTTTCTTGTATTTTTTGTAATCTTTCTTAGTATGGTCACTTTATGTCAATCAAACAGATTCTAGAGTATCATCCTCAGATGCTTCAGGAGTATCTTCGTGGTGGAGATCAGACTAGTGGCTTTATGTACCCAAGGTTAGGGCAGCTGTACATGTCAGACTTGATTTACTACTTTTATAAATTTTTGATTTATATCTCTGCAAGCGCTTGTTGGTTTGGTCGTATTTGGTGTGTGTTGAATGCTGAAAGACATTGCAATTCTCCTCATGAGGTTTTAGTGTTGAGTTTCAAAACCCTACTTGTCTTTTTAGTACCTATTACTCATTATCATTGTCATCGTCATCATCCTCATCATCATTATTATTATATTGTCATGTATTTTTTTTTTTTTAAATAGGCTATGGTGATGACATGAATTGTTTTTGTTGGATAAATATTTGGGTACAAGAATATTGCTCCTCCTACTTCTGAGCATTGAGATTCTTGATGCACTTCATTTATGAATTTGATGTATTTTAGTGGAGTTGATCGGTTCAAGCGGCAGTTTGCCCATTTAGAAGAACACTATGGCAAAGGTGAAAGAGGCACTCCTCCTCTACAAAGGCAGCATGCCTCATTGCCTAGGTATGTGATTTTATTTATATCGATTATGTTTTGAACAATAAGTTTTATAAATTGGTCACTGAGGTCACTTTGCAAATTAGTTGCTTGTTGTTATTATTGTATGCATGGGTGTACCCTAATTAGGTATATGCACGTAACTGGTTTTGTTGCTATACTGTACCACATGACAGTGAAATTATAATTTGAGGGAGATTGAGTACTTGGGTGTTGCTCATTACCAAATTTTTCTTTATGGAATAGATCATTAGTATTAGAAGAAAAGTGATTTATGGCTATTTTATGGACCAGGTATTAATTTATTTCATAGTATAAATCTTGCATGAAGTAAATACACAAGTTCATGTTTCTTATCTTGTATGGTGTCATTGCTGGTTAGAATGTATTACTTGAATAATCTCTGTATATTTTATATTTATATTATTTAATTTCATATTAAAGAAAAGAATGATACAAAAGCATATAATATTTTTTTTCTTAACTAGAAATGTTGATTATGAAGGTTGTACTTATTGTTGACTTGTGACAAGATGAAAAAATCATGGTTTTACTCATGTTACCATGACCGAGGTTAAATATTTAAGTCAAGTATGAAAATCTTGAAGCTCTATTTCCTGTTGTACATCGAAAATTCAGAGCAGGCGTTTGAGTTGGCATTTTTAAGGAAACCTATTAACACTTACAAATTTATATCCAATTTTGTGTACTGTGGTTGCAGAGAGCGGGTCCCAGCTCCCAAAGAAGAAGTTAAGGATAGTGACTTTGAAAAGCGACTTGCGACAACTCTTGAGAGTCCCCCACGTGAGGTTGTTGAAGGTTCTGATAACGCAAATGCAAATGGACAGCAAAAGGGAAACTACAGTGCTCGTAGCCTGCTAAAGAGTGCAAGCATCAGTGCTTCTAAGTGTATAGGTGTCAAAGAGAAAAGAGATACAGAGGTAACTTTTGTCTTTTCGTCTTTACAAAAAGTGTTGAAATTTGAATCAAAGACGATATTTGCTCATGCATTTGTTTACTTTGTTTAAAGATGATACAATTTTATGAAGCATTTTGCATCACTTCACATTATATGAACATTTTAATTTTCTTGGTTTTACAGCAAGACCCGATAGAAGAGCATAATGAAGAAATTGATGGGTTGACAGACAAAGTAGCGGTGCTCCACGCTTGATCTCTATAATATCCATTCTTAAACCTTTTTGGGTCATTTTTCACTGCCATTGTTTGGGCCCTTAGATCGGACTTAAATGGCAGCCATTTTGTAGTATTTCGAAAATTTGGGTAGGAGAATACTGCTGGAACGGCTTTTATGTGAGTTGTGCAGTTGCTTTGGTCCATCTTTAACTAATGGTATTTTCCAGATTTTCCATCTTTTCCTTCGAAGTTATTGTGTATTATTTATCAATGCACCTAAGGTACGGTGTTGGGTTGTATGAGAATTGAGATGATGTGTGTATGTATGTTGTGGCCCTTAATTCCATAGGAAGCTTTTGCTGTGTCCGGTTGTGGATTCTCTCCATTTGCTGTGTTAGATTGTTCTTCAGAAATGGGAAATAGGGTTTTGCTGAAAGAT